AAGATTTGGTTAAAAATATCTACTTGTGTTAAGAAAGGTTTTTCGAATAATAACCATAAAAATTGACGATGGTAAACATGAAACCACAAAAATTGAGAATATTGTATTTTCCTTTGAGACTATGTGTAGATGTGTATATTACTTTTCTGAATGTTTCAGATCAGTATAATATTTAAGTTGCCTTTTTCTCGCATATAAATATCGTTAGATAAAATCTCATTTTTGGAAGATAATTGATTATTTTTATATGAGTATGAAATATTTTATATGTCATTATGTTAAGGAAGATTTTTCTTATTTACATAAACACGAAACCTTTAAAATTGATAAAAATGTATTATTCTTTGAGACTATATGTAGGTGTATATGTTTCTTTTTTGAATGTTGGAGACCCGCATAATATTTATAATAACGCATAATATTATACACATAATATTAACGCATAATATTTTTCTCGTATGTAAATATCTTTAGATGAAATTCCATTTTTTTAAAATAATGAATTATTTTGATAATATGAGTGCGAAATATGTTATATTTAATTATGTAAAGGAAGATTTATTTAATTTACGAAGACACGAAACCAAAAAAATTGATGGAATCGTGTTATTCTTTGAGACTATATGTAGGTGTAAATATTTCTTTTCTGAATGTTTCAGATTCACATAATATTAATGTTGCTTTTTCTCGTATGTAAATATCTTTAGATGAAATTTCATTTTTTAAAGATAATAAATTATTTTGATAACATGAGTGCGAAATATATTACATTAAATTATGTGAAGGAAGATTTATCTAATTTACGAAAACACGAAACCATTAAAATTGATGGAATTGTATTATTCTTTGAGACTATATGCAGGTGTGTATATTTCTTTTCTGAATGTTTGAGATTCACATAATATTAATGTAGCTTTTTCCATGTATTTAACAATATGAAATATCAATTACCATGTAACAAAACTTTATTTTTTAAAGATAATTATTTTAATAATATTATATCAACATAAGTTTATGTTACATGTTGTTCAGAAAATATTTTTATATTCATATTACAGAGCTCGTGACATTATTTACTGGTATAAATCAGATATTATCATAGTACTGATACAATGATATAAAGAGTTCTCTTTTTTTTGCATATTTAAAGAAACATTAGTTACAAAATTTTTGAGAGAAACTTCTGTACATTGATATTTTATTCTAATATTAATTTAATTCTAATTTTTGAGAGAAACTTCTATACATTAATATTTTATTCTAATATTAATTTAATTCTAATTTTTGAGAGAAACTTATTGCCACTGTATCTGGGTTTAAAATATGTCAAATTATGGAGTTAGTTTTTCTGTTGGTGTAATGAGTGAGATTTTAGAATTTTACATTTTTAACTGACTTTTCACTTCAAAATAAAAATTTTCATTGTAATTGGTTTGCTTTTGTGATATAGAAGGTTTTATTCTTTCATTTTATAAGTAAAAGTAAATAGTATAAGTAATAGTAATAGATTTTTCTTCTATAAGAATTTTGCTACATAAATATTTGACAAAAAACAACTGATTCCGTAGTTGTAGAATTTGTTTCCGCATTTATTTAATGTCTAAAACCAATAGATTCGGAAACATTTTATTTGTATTTGATTTTTTATTTTTTTAAAATTTCATATATTCGTAGTTGTATATTATATTTAGTGGTATATTTGCTCATATGAGCTAAAGATGACCAAAACTACTGTTTAAATACCATATTTTCGATTTTAATACCAAAATAATGCTTTATTTCTTTATTTTTATTTTTCTTAATTCTTATTCTTTTTTTGAAGACAAGAAGACCGAAATGTCATGACCACAGTATGGAAATTTTACAAGAATTTTTTTCTCCTTAGATAATTTAGGAAGCTAGAAATTACTTAAAATTGAGGAATATAAGCACCATCTAGATTTTAGTACAAGTGCGTGTACTGTGCGTGTAAGTATATGTGACTAATATGATAATTGTTTTGCTGCTCACAAATAAGGCTATTGGTTCTAGAACTCTTTAAAAAATTCTCTAAATTGTTTAGCAAACTCAAATACATCAATTTCACATATTTTTTAATTAATCAATGCTCATCGCAGCATAATTAATTTAAAATTTATATATTGCTTCAGGAAACTAAAGAAATAGATCACTAACGATGGAAATTCATGTTGAATAGATTTATTTATTTTCAAAAAAATTGTTTGATATCGTCTATATTTAATTGAACTAAGCATGATGTAAAATGATGTTTACGAATTAAACTCTAAAGTTACAATGTTGCAATTAAAAAGAATGACAAGAAAAGAAAAAAGTGGTTTTTAAAGTTTATGCCCAAAACATATTTTGCATTCATTTTTAATTGAATATCATTTCCTTCATAGTATGACTCGTTTTTTTTTTGCTTTGAAAAACTTTTTTATATTTTTAATTCTGCTGAATATTTAGCATCAAGTAGAAAGAACCAAAATTTACACAATTATGGTAAGTGATTTGAATTTATCTTTAAATCTACTAACTCTTTAATAAGAATTTCAACCTTGGTTCAAACAACAATATAATAGTTTATAACATTTTGAGAAAATTCAAAGCAGAATTTGCATTAGTGATGATGTCAACAGTGTCGTAAAATATATCAGAGCGTTCTTCGAAAAATGCGTTTAAAAAATTCTTAGTGCGTTGCATTTGTTTTTTTTTCCGGCTAAAAATTTGTTTCCATATGTTTAAGAAACTTAGATACAACAGAATGATAATAGTTCATAGAGTTTTGAAATCCTAAAAAAATTATTTCAAAAATGTAGTAATTAAAAGATTGATAGTTTTTGACAAATGTGGTCATTATAATTTAAGTAATTATCTTAATTGGTTTTCATTTAAATAATAATTAAAGAAAATGTTATTAAGGATAATAAATTTTCTCACAGATATTCAAGCTTAAATAAAGTCGAATTGATAAATCAAATTATCAATTTGAATTATTTTTTTTGGATATTAATTAAAACTGTTGTACAAAAAACTAATGTCTTTTCAATTAAATGAATGAATAAATAGGGTGAAGTGATTTTTAATCAAAATTATTTTAAATTAATGCTATTTAAATTATCGAGAAATCTAGGTAGTCACAGAAACTTAGTATAAAATTGAACAAAAAATTAATTTTCTAATAATTTATAATAATGGAATATATTTTTTATTTATCTATCATTTTCACCCCACTTTTTCTTTATCCAATCTTGACTTTGCCGATTCTTTATCATTTTAACAAACTTCCACTTCTTATTGAACTGAGGGAATGGGACCAGTTTAAGACACAAGGTGGGGTGAAAATCGATGTAAAGAAAACCAATTTGCCAAGCTCTCATGCTAATCTAAGAATTGTGACGGCATCTTATTTGTTATGGTCAATCTTGTAACATCACTGATAGAAAAGTACGGTAGGTCTCGACAAAGGTGGCCCGGCACCTTCAAAGTTATATTTTCCAGCAACATTTCCTAACTAATTGTTTTGTCACTTTAGCTAATAACATAACCATTGGCCGGAATAGCCTGGTTGACAGGGCTCTGGACACACATTCGTGAAAACAGCACTTCCAATCCAGCCGACTGAAGATGTAGTTAATGATGGCTGGTGAGCGTTAAACCTGTCGGGTCACAAAGTCCCCCATGTCCCCATAGCAAATTACACCTATTAAAAAATAACAAATTACACCTATTAAAAAATAACAAATTACACCTTTATGTAAAGAAGAAAGAAAGAGATTATTAAAATCTATTGAAAGGATTTTTTCTTCCTTACAACTCATTTTATAACTGAGAATAATATTCGAATTGATATCTTATTTCACTTCAAAAAGAATTTAAAAAAAAATTAATTCTTATTTTGTCCCTATTTCTTGGAAGTTTCAGCTTAAATATATCTTTGTCTTTAAAAATTCCAAATTAAGCTTAGCTTTATTTCTTAATCTTGAATTTTGTTAATAAATATAATATGCAATACTAAAGAATATCCTGAGGATCATCTGATACATTCCAAACTAAATACCTGACATGGACATCGAGAAAAATGTTATTGGACTATTAATTAATAAAAATNAATATTTTCACCTGACACGTAATAATTTGAAATAATGGAATCGACAACAAAAGACAATCTCGAAAATAATTATTTTTTCTAAATTTTAATTTTATTTTACTTTGTGTCTCTTTTTTTTTCTTCATTTTCATGCATTGTCATCCAATTCTGAACTATGTGCCAAATTTGAAGTTTGTAGCTAGTCGGGAAGTTAGTTTAAAATCGATTACAAAATTCCACCCGGACAGACATACACGCAGGCAAGTTTATATAAACGTGGTAAAAAATAGCATGACGTGCGTTATATAATAACGTGCGCTAGCAGTCAGAAATCAAATAAAGTTACAGTTAAAAATGTGTTGTTAGAGAAAATAAAAAATAATTTTTTCATAATCTTATAATTTGTAATAATTTTATATTGTATTATAATTTTATAATCTTTTATGATTTCTTTTATAATTTAATAAAGATTTATGAGGTCAATACCGTAATATAACGATCTAATTACTAATCCTATCAAAAAATAACATAACAAATTACACCTTTATGTAAAGAAGAAAGAAAGAGATTATTAAAATCTATTGAAAGGATTTTTTCTTCCTTACAACTCATTTTATAACTGAGAATAATATTCGAATTGATATCTTATTTCACTTCAAAAAGAATTTAAAAAAAAATTAATTCTTATTTTGTCCCTATTTCTTGGAAGTTTCAGCTTAAATATATCTTTGTCTTTAAAAATTCCAAATTAAGCTTAGCTTTATTTCTTAATCTTGAATTTTGTTAATAAATATAATATGCAATACTAAAGAATATCCTGAGGATCATCTGATACATTCCAAACTAAATACCTGACATGGACATCGAGAAAAATGTTATTGGACTATTTATTAATAAAAATGCTTAATTAATGAAATATCCCTCAAGGTAAGTGATTATCAATTAATTTTCGACAAGTATTTCACAATAATATGCATGCAACTTATAATTATATGCATGCTCTTATAATAATTATTGCTATATAATAATCACCCAACTGAAATTTTAAAACCATTAGTTTTTCAAATATGTTTTAAATTTATTAATTATGCAATTGAATTTAGAAAAAAAGCTATTAATATCAACGTTTTCGATCATCAAAATATCCAGCTAAACATTAATTATATGATATGCACATGTAACATTTTCTTTTCTATCTTTTTAAAAATGTATAACGATAGTATAGATTTCATTTGACATGAATCTCTTTTTACTATTAACTTATTAAAAATTATACTTTCTTTAGCTTTTCAATTAGGGAGATTGAGTGCAAATGATATTCATTATCTTTATATTCTTTTGAACATTTTTTATCGCTATTTAAAATAATTTCAATTTCCGCATGTATAAATTCTATTTTTACGACGAGTTTCCACATTTCAAAGAACAAAGTTAGAAAATAAATTGTGAACTTTTAATCCTGAAAATGAAATTTATTACGATTAAACAATTATGTAAGCGATCAATAAAGTAATCAGTTAAATTTTATAATAATGATTCGTTAAAAAACTGCCTCTGGAAAAAATATATGTTTTCTTTAAAAAAAATTTTATGAAAGTGTATTTTTAATAAGTATTGATTTTAGTTTTAGTAAGTTTTCAGCAATAAAATGAGAAAACTGAAGCTCCTTAGCACTTCCCATTGTTATGGGGAGTTGACTATCATATCTTACAGAGAAAAAGGGTAAAGAAGTTAGTGAACAAATTCTTCGGCGTTTCTGCAATTTAAGGGAGGTAGAGAATTTCGGGAACCAGAGAGTTAAAGCTTTTTGGTGCATTACTTTTAAACACTCTAGCCCGGAAATATCACGGGCACGAGAATTTGGAGATGAAATCTCACTCCGTGATTTTGACACGAGTGGGAAGAAGTATAAAAAGCGTACATACATGAATTCGGAAAAATTAGTCTAAATTTTGCAGACCTAGCTAATTATAAGTACTTTAATAATGTATTCATTTTCAGGACTTGGTTGGATTATTATCGAATTGACGACATGAGTGGTGTAGATAGCAGCTACAGTTGGGTGGTAGCTTTAGCAGGCAGTCTGATTTCCTTGTTAGTATCGTGTCCCGTAAGACTTGGGGCACAGATCTTTGTGTCTTTGCTAGATCGTTATGACACGACCAGGAAAGAAGCTTCTTTTCCTTTCGTACTAGCTGCGTTTTTGAGAGGTGTATCAGGTACAGTTTATAATTTGAATTCATAATTATTTGTTTAAGAAATTTAATTGGATTCATTACATTGATTATTATAAGCACAACAATAAGCATACCGAGCTAGACCTTCAATTACAAGTTGCCTGTTTATGGTGGGAGAATTGTTATCTTTTTCGGGAAATACATGGTCCACATTGATGTTTTTTAAGGTAAAATACCATTGTTGGATTTTCATTACACTGATTATTATAAGTACAACAATAAGTACACAGTGCTAGACCTTCAATTACAAGTTGCCTGTTTATGGTGGGAGAATTGTTGTCCTTTTTAGTGAAATACATGGTATCCATCACTGTTTTTTTTAAAGGTAAAGTACCCTTGCTGGATTTTCATTACACTGATTATTATAAGCGCAACAATAAGCACAGAATGCTAGACCTTCAATTACAAGCCGCCTGTTTATGGGAGTAGAATTGTTGTCTTTTTTAAGGAAATACATGGTATTCATCACTGATGTTTTTAAGGTAAAATACCAATGCAGGATTTTCATTACACTGATTATTATTTAAGTTTAAGAACCGTGACCCAATGGGCTCTTGCTCGGTATTGCTCGCCAGCCTGAAATTGAAAGGCACATCACTTTTATAATCAACTTAAATTTCATTCTCTCAAAAATAATGCATCCTACGATTTTTTTTATTATTAATAGTTCGAAAAAAATCATTTTTCCTTTCTAATATACTTAATTTTTTTTTTACTTTTGGTTAACTGGAGTAATATTTTTTAAAAGAAAATTAAAGCGTTATTTCGAATTGTTTTACGTAAAAGCTGCCATTGTGATTTATTCTATAATTTTAATTTCTAGGACCGTTTGCGGGAGCTTTTGGTGATAGAATCGGCTTGCAAGGAGTAACAATTTTCGGATGTTTACTATGTTCAGTTGGTGTTGGAGGATGTTTCTTTGTGGAAGATGTTATGACAATAAATATATGTCTGGGTGTAATCTTTGGTAAAAAATTTAAATTTCTAATGAAATTAGGAAGGGAAAAGCAAGATAAATACAATTATAATCTTTAAAGAGATGAGGCGTTTTGAAGAAAATTCTTCTTTCAATTATCTTTTATTTATTAATTTATTTCATTGAAATAGATAGCTTTTTTGAAAAATTAGCATAAATGTAGAAAAAAAAGAAGCTTATTGGTAATGAATAATACTGAAACTTTTTATTTTTAAAAAAATTGGGTTTACAAAAAATTAAAATATTTCTGTTAGATAATTTTTTTACAGAAATTAAAAATAAATTTATTACATAGAGTGTTTTCTAACTGAATTTTGACAAAATATTAAAAAAAATGTAAAAGTAAAGGAAATCATTGATTGTCTTAGGAGAAGTATTAACAATAATTAGCAAAAAATAATGATTGTGGCTTTTCTCTGAAGGTTGAATCGCCAAATTATATGGTTTTTATACTTTTTTGTAAGTATCTAGTCATAGTTACTAAGTTTTGTTCATCGCTCAAATCTCTGATTGCTGGATTAGAAAATATCATGAAATGTCATTATGAAGAAAAGCAACAGTTTCCAATATGTAAAAAGTATTTTTGATCTAATTTTTCGAGTTTTAAAAAAGTAATTCCTGCCTTGTTTGCGTTTACAAAAAATGCTGATTGATTGATCTTAATAAACCATTGATCTTAATCATAATCCATTGATCTTAACATTTTCGATTGATCTTAATAACGTTAATTAAAAATGGAAAAATCTCGTTAAATTGGCGATATTTAGAAAAAAATTAAGATATCTTGTAACATGGTTTATCGAAGCTCTTTCGCCAAAGAAAATAAAAGAACCACAGATTAAGAGCCTTACTTTTGAATCAAAGCAATAATTTTAAACAATATATACCATCTTGTCATAAGAGGTATCTGGGCTTCAGAACAGAGAAATAGTATTAATGCTTTTAAAATAATTAAGCTTCTTTTAAAAAATTGCTAATTTGGCAAATTTTCCATCCAAATGAAAGTTATCAAAATTACTGCCTTATTCTCAATGTTTGAAACTTTTTAAGAGCTCAGATAATGCAGCAATTATTTTATAAATTTTATATTACCTTACCATCGGTGAACAGCCGACGCAATGTCTTATGTTTACGACTACTAATGCTCAACTCCATAGACTGTAATTTTGTACCCAATCCAAAAGGCAGGGAAACTCCTGGATCAAGTATTGGGGGCAATTCGCCTTTGTGGAGGACTTTTTGATGGACTTAACCCGCATTTGCTTTACCTGTTGAGGAAAACCACGAAAACCTCCCACTCTAGTTAACACAAATGATGAATTCAACAAGAGTTCGGAGTCGTTTGGGCTTTTCTCTTGCCGAAATATATTTATTTTCATTTAAACGTGTCGTTTTTACTTAATGTGCTGTATTTGTTTTAAAATTGTTCTACGAAATAGTTAATAATGTCATTCCAGGTATCGGTTACGGATGGTCATGTGCTCTCATTCCTGAAATTATAAATCAACATTTTAAAAAACATCGCAGCATAGCATATGGTATCACTTCGTCAGGAGGTGGACTTGGATCTTTCTTCTTTCCACCAATCTTGGATTTAATTTTGAAAAAATTTGGAGTATCCGGTACGTTTCTCATAATGGCAGCATTGCTATTAAACAGTGTGCCAGCAGCAATGCTGCTTAGAAAACAAAAGAGAGTAAAGAAAAGAGCCAATTTCTTACCATTGCTTGACACCAAACGTGCACCTGCAGCTGAAGACAAGAGAATATCTGATCGTGCTGCCATGCAAGGCATATCTAGGTCTTTTGAAGAGTTGTGTGAAGTTTCTAATTGTGAAGTTGATTTGCTGTCCAACTTTCAGACCGACAATGGAAATTCTAAAATTCAACTAAAGGATGCAAATATGAAGCAAGATACTACTGATATGAAATGCCCCGTTGCTGATAGAAAAAATCTCGTTATGTGGCCTGTAAAAAAATTTCCCGAATTAGCTGATTGTAAAGTTGATTTGATGTCAGACTGCCAGACTGACAATGAAAATTCTAAAATTCAATTAAAAAATGTAAAAATAGAACAAGAAATTGAAGATCAAGTTACTGGTGTGAAAAACTACATTGCTGATACAGAAAATCACGATTCAGATATAAAAAATCACTTTACTGATATGAAAAAATCTGAGAGAGAAAATTGCGAGACTGTAAATTTACTCAAAGCTAAATCGAATTCTATTTACGAGTTAGGGAAATCAGAATCTCCCCATAGCAAACAGCTAGCGCTAAATGAACACTTTAAGACTAATGTAAAAAATGCCGAATTAAATTTTAAAGGTGGATGTCTCAACTCGTCTGGAAAGTCTCTTTTTTCGAAATTCAGAATTCTTTGGAGTCCTGAGTTCATAACATTAGCTTTCATACAAGGAGTTAGCGGTTTTGTAATTCTAGTATTTTATACTATTATTGTCGATTTCGTTCGGGACAAAAGAATTGAACAACATTTGGAAGCATATTTTGTGATGTCTTTGTCTCTTTTTGATACAATTGGTAGGTTAACTTTAGGTTTAATCACTGATAAAGGCTTGATGACAATGGAAAACTTCAATGTTTGCTGTTTTGCAATCTCAGGATTCATATTTGTGTTGCTTGCATGGTTGCCGGAATTCTTTTCGATCATTACTATTATTTCATTGATGGGTTTAACTTTTGGTGGTATCACTATTGCAATGCCAGTTTTAATTACTAAATTTATAAAGAAAGAAAATAGGTCCATGGCCTTGGCATCTAGGTTTATAATTATGTCTCCAATGAGTCTTTCTGCATCATTACTTATAGGTAAGAAAACAGTTTTGTTTTAAAAATACTTTTACAATTATAAATTACGTGTTTTTTTAAAGGAAATATCCACTTTTAAATGAGAATTCCCGAGAAACTGAAGCGGAAGGATATACATGATTATAAAAAAACATCTGAAATTGTAAGGTCTATCTTTTTTTTTTTTTTTTTTTAAAAAAAAATATGGTTTTAAATTGTAATGTAAATATAAAGTGTAGTAGAATATAAAATTTTATATTTTATGTTCAACTTATCAATAATTAGTTAGTTAAATGAGGTAAGTCACTCCCTAATTTCAAAAAAGGATTTTCTCTAATTTTAATAATAATTAAAAAAAAATACTTGCTCCATCACTTTATAACATGAGAAAAAAATGTTGCTCACACAGAAGCTATTTTTATTGCATCCTGCTAGAAATTAATCGAATAAAATAGTAAAACTACAATTTATTTTATTGTTATTTTACCAGATTTAGCCAAGACCGTATAATATATAGCCATGAAAAATATAGTATTCAAATCTTTTAACTGTGCGAAACACAGTTTATTGTTTATGCTCCCCTAATACGGGTAAAAAAACAAGAACTTTAATCAAGCCAACTTGGCCGACCCTATGAAGCTACTTAGTTCCAAGCAGCTGGGTACATACCAACACCGGTCAATTGACCGGTCAACATCTTAAAGGAGATATAAGGGATTAGTAAATCTCTCCTCTAAGGTCAACAGCGCCGATCAATCCCATGAACGGTTGAATCTCATGACTGGCTGGTTCAAATTCCAGCGTTGACACTACAATATTTCTTTGATCCCTTCAAGACATGAAGAGTTTCCATTATCCTGCACTCTTCTGGCGTTTTTAGAATGCAAAACTCTCATTCACGCATAGATGGCAGCACTATAGATCTGCTTAACACAAAAAATTCAAGCATTTTTGATCTTTCACGATAGTTGACATCACTTGCAGGCTTATGGACAGAACACAATTGATCCATAACTTATCTCTAATTACCATTACATAACAAGAGGCCATTACATAACCTAACTCCATTGACCAGTTAAATTTAATTTTTACGGTTTTAAAATTATGCTAATTATAAATAGTTCCAAAACAGTATAATTCTGTGTTCACGGATTTTTAACTTGTAAGCTGGGTTTCAAACCTGTAAAGTTAGAGAAAAGCTTCGAACAATAAACTTTACTGTTAATTGGATGGGCAGACTACTACTGGTTATTTTACTGCAATTTTAGAATTGAATTTCAAACAGTGCATTTACAATATTTAAGATTTAGAAAAAAATATTAACTTAAATTAATCCGTAAATTATAATTTATAGGTTTCTTTCGAGGTTCCATGGGATCTTACGATGGTCTTTTATACTTAATGGCTTCAATGTTTGCAGTTTGTGTTATATTGCTTCTGCTGTTACCCATTCTTGCAAAGCAAAGGGATCATGTATAACTGAAAGGAGCAATTAAAAAAGTTATGTAAAAATGTGCTGGCGAGAAAGTTCTGTATATCAAGGGGTGCGGATATTGTGTAAAGCTGCTGTCAAAAGGAATGTTAAACTTTCAAAGCAAACGTAATTCCAATTGTTCAAATTACACTAGTGGAGTGAAATATACAAACATATTCTTGTAATCAATTTGTTACGAATAGTTTTGAATATGTTCTGTTATATGTGACAGTATCTTAGAGATGTGATGGCATACAAAAGTAAGAGAACGCGTAAAACTTGTTGTTGTATATATGTTGGAAAATTGTTACGTTGAATCTAAAATTATATATATATAAAAATCTTCACATAATTATTGACACCAATGATTCCTGATTAATATTGGTAATAGTAAATACTTGAAATATACATTAAATAAATAAATAAATAAAATACATATTGATTTCCATTTCATTTGCATTAGACATTATTAGTTATATTTTTAGGTTCAACAGACAAACCTTAAAAATTCTAAAAAATATCTTTGTCATCAAACTAGAACAAAAAAAATTGTGATCGCCTTTTCGCAGTCACAGGTTATCCATTGCCAAAATGGTTGTTGTCTAATTTTTTATTTTTTTAACATTCTACCGTATAAAGGAGCATGGTAGCTGAAAATACACTCATAAACGCCTCGGTATATTTAGGCATCGTTTTTTTTCTTGCTTCAACTCAAACCTAGGGGCAGTGTCAATCAGCTTGGGACCCTCTTTATTTGTCATATTCACTTGAATTAGTATTGAAAACGATCCAGTTTTGAACTGTAGGTTAGAATTTCTGATTTTTAATTAAAGCAATAAAAACAAAAATATCGCTCAAATGATGAAATTCTCCTTTATTCACAACTCAGGAAGTATTTATGGATCTCTCTGGTCCCATATCTCAAAAATAAACTCCCCAACTTAATGCATAAAAGAATTTAAACTGAAAAAAAGAATTCTAAAAAAATTATCAAACAACAGCGGTCCCGCATGCAATGACGGCGCATGCTCACTGTTTACTATTACTCTTGAACACAATTGAAAAGTGTGATAACTTCCAAATTAGATGCGCACGTCATCAAACTCAAAACAAGACCGATCCTGCCAATGGGTAATAAAATACAGGGTGTCTATAAAAGAACTCCAGTCAATAAGTATTAGTTCTTAAATGTATCTTTTTTCAACACTACTTTTAGACAAAGTAAACTTTTGAAAATGAAGCAGTATGCAGATATTATGAGAAACACACTGATGATGATGAATGATGGTTGCTTAATGATGGGTGATGAATGATGCATGAAGGATCATAAATGATGGCTGAAGGATGATGGATGATGAATGATGACGGATGACAGTGATGAGGACAAATGACGGTTAAAATCACTACTAGTTCCCATATTCTGCTACTTCACATACAATAAGGAATCACATACAATTGAAAGAGAACATACAACTTATGTTAAACACTTTTTCTTGAAAATTTCTTATTCTAGGAGTGTATTATATTTTGTACTTATAAATGCATTTTATTTTGCTTCATATCATTTCATATCATCATATCATCATTATCATCATCATACGGTCGAATTTCACTTTTAACTTTCCATTTTTTGCTAACTGCGTGGTTTTTAAAATTGTAATTTAGAAAACCAAAAGTTCTAGTAAACGATTGACATATAAACGAAAAAATTACCAAAATGAATGGTTTATGCATTTGGTTTTAAATGCATTTGGTTTTTCTTACCAGAATTATGTGTTTAATTTTACCAGAAATGTCATTACCATACAGTACGGTAATTTTACCAGATTTTTTTTTCTCTGAGTAGATATAATTCTACGTTCCCTATGCCACCTATTGCGACAATATATTAAGAATCATTGGCGTCACTAATAGTTTAGCAATTAGTTCCACAATACCAACGTAATTATTTTATATGTATAGTATAATAATTTGTATCGTAATTATTTTCGAGATTTAGATTTAAAGTTGTGTTAAATCTTCATTATTCACTTCGTTAAATCTTCATTAGTACCAGTGACTTCCACAATGCCAGTGTAATTAACTTATACGTATAGTATAGCAATTTGTATTGTAATTATTTTCGAGATTTGCATTTAAAGTTGTGTTAAATCTTCATTATCACGTCTCTGTATAGTGAAAGGAAACAAACATTGCGATGTTCGTCAAAAAATGTCGCATGCTATAAATATCACACGCATTTATATGTAGTTGGTAAATACTTAGATTAAACATTTCTTTTCCAAGTATAGTCACAAATAGCTTTTAATTAATAATAAAACAAACAAAAAAAAAGCGTATTTATTTCATGAAATACTTTCTTTTATGTCTTTTTTCGACAATGACGTATCCAATAAATCCAATAATAGATACAACAAGTAAGGCACACATTTTTTCAAAAATACAAAAATATCCAGAGATTGCTAAGGATAAACATAGGCCTAAGGAATACCATACATAATAAGCAGAGAAAGCAGCTTCTTGGTTTTCTTTAAAGAATATTCCATACAGTGCTGAAAGTGATACAATTCAAGTTTTAAAATAAACATAAATTCATACGGATTTAAAATGCTAAAACACTAACTTCCAATAAATGATAAATTCAACGAGTATATATTTTGATAGTTAAAGATCATACTAAGTAAAAAAAAATAGAGTAATTTAGAGCACAATGATGTTAAGTGCACAGAGAATTGCCTTTCCATAAATGTTTTAAATGTATAAATTTCAAACTATTTTAGGATCAGCATTTTTGCTGACGAATCGTTTAATGGAAAATAATATTTTCAATACAGAAATTAAAAGCAGAAGTCATGTTGTTTGTGAATTCTAGAACTTTTTTATAACACAAAGTAAAATTTTGCCACTTAATTATATATTCTTCTTGGTCTTTTTCGAAAAATATTCCATACAGTGTTCAAAAAATTCGAATTTTGAAACAAATATAAATTCATACGAATTTAAAATACTAAAATGCTAGTTCCGATTAAATGATAAACTTACTGAAGTTAAGGATTTGAATAAGTAAAAAGCTTACTGAAAATTAGAGCACAATGATGTAAAGTGCTCAGATTTTTTCTTCTTCTTAAATTCTTTTAATTTCTAATATTTTTGGCTCCATACATTTACTGAAAGATTATTTAATGGTGCACATAATGACTTATTAGTATTTCCAATGAAGAAATTAAATTCAGGATTCATAAATTTCGTGAGTGTTTATTGAGTATTCTTTATTTTGTGAGTGTACATTTATTTCAATGTCACAAAGTAAAATAGTATTTTTGAATTTTTGTCGTTTATAATAAATAAATTAAAATGATACATAAATATCTTATAAATAGAAAAAAAATGAGCTATTTATTTAACAGGTTAAATCAAAAGAATTTAAATTTTGTAAATGTTCCTGAATATTTTTTATGAATAATATGAGTAGGGTCGTAAATAACGTCACCTCAATGAAAGAAGCCATAGTTGACTTTTATCATTTTACTTGTTTTTAATTGTAAAGATATATGCAACAATGATTTAATTCTTCTCCACTCTTCTTCACTGAGAGAAACTTTTATTCAACAACAAGTGCTGTTAAAAGTTTACGAAGAGCTAAGTGATAAAGCTACTTAACGATATTTTAAAGAATTTGCGAAGATTAGTTTTAGCCTTTAGGATTAAATAGTAAAAATGATCAGCTTAGCTGTTATTTCCTATTCATAGACTTCTAATTGAAGAAATTTATGAATTCCGTTAGATTATTTGCACTGATTGCGACTTAATGTTCAGATTAGCATCTTAGCGCATCAGAAATTAATATGTATCCATTTCTTCTGATAGTTGACTATTTGTTTCCAAGTGCACATGCAACCTTCTTCCACTCAAAAAGCATTCACAGATTGTCACTTATCAAAATGAATGATTTGAAATAAAAATATAGAATTTAATAAGATTAAAGTAAGATTTTTCTCCGGGAAATTCAATTTTTTTTTTGATAAATGTCAATGGAAACTTTCGTTCGTTCACTGTGCTTTTCATACGTTTATACTCCCTCAATATATATTTATAAAAGGGAAGGGACAAAAAAAAGAAAAAAAGAACACCATAACCAAATTTTAATATCCTTTACCTAACGAAAAAAACTACCTCCAATGTCCTTTGAGCGTTATCACTTATTTTGGCTGTTTATTTGTTTAAATGTTGAATAATCGCCTTATGATTATTTTGTATTTACTTACTTACTTATCCTCTACGTGCCATTGGGCACTCAAGGCCTCTAGCATATCCCTCCAACGCCTCCTGTCTCTAGCAATAGATCTTGCTTCCTCCCAGCCAGATATTCTACATTCTTTTAATTCGCCCAAAAACATGCATTGGATGGTAAGTCTGGGTCTTCCTCTTGTTCTTTTACCATCAGGGGCCCATGTAAGCGCAACAGATGTAATTTTTTCTTTGGGCATTCTAAGGATATGTCCGAGCCAGCTCCATCTTCGTTTTTTAATTTCATCTTCTATTGTTTTTATTTTAGCTTTCTTTAATAGATTTTGGCTTGATACTTTGTAAGGCCAGAAAATTTTAAAAATAAATCTTAAACATTTGTTTTGAAAGGTTTCTAATTTTTGTATTTCGATCTTAGTCTGTTTCCAGGTTTCTGCGCCATATAATAGTACTGCTCTAACAATAGCTTTGTAAACAACTATTTTTGTCTTTATTTCAATATTTGACTCTCTCCAAAATTTATGTAATCCCTTAAAACATGTTCTTGCTTTGATTATTCTCTGTCTAATATCTTCGCTACTTCCACCTTTTTTATCTACAATAGAACCTAAATAGCTAAATGATTCTATGTCATCTATTTCGTGATTTTCGATTTTAATTTTGTCATTTTTCTTTTGATTTATTCTCATTACTTTAGTTTTCTTCTTGTTCATGAATAAACCTACACTATTTGAATATTTGTTGAATTTGTCTGTTTTAAG